CTCGATATTAAGCCCTAGAAAGATAACCATATGACAACGTACGTAAAAGATAACCATACGCTTCAGAGGCGCATGCTTTTCTAAGGCGTCAATTTTATACTAACAATGGATATTTATTTAAGTTAATCTAGTCATTTTAAAGGTTTGGCATTATTGTAAAAATAAAATGCATTTATATTATATTTTTTTATATTTTAAGTAATTTTAAACTTAAATCACTAGACCTCTATGAAAAATTAACAAAAATCAACAGTCTTCGCAGGCGCCTCTGCGACGTAGGTTATCTTTCTCGGGTTAAGAAACAATTTTCTGAAGACTAACACTCCTCTTCTATCTCCCACGTCAGTGGAATGATTATTTTCTTTCCCAACAATATTAGATGAAAATAGACAAAAATCTTTTAAAAATTAACTACTTGCGTTAAGAATTTTCCTAAGAGCAAATAGTTGTACAGATTTTTTAATATAAAATCTTATTTGGTTTATATCTTTAGAAGAAGATTTTTGCTTAAAGCAATTTTTTAAATCGGGTCTTTTCATTGTACATTATTTAAAGGATTATTTTTTTTGTCAAAGAATTAATTATTTTAAATTGTTATTATTTCTAATAGATCGACATTATTTTTATTTTTAACTAACAGCATTGGAAATAATAATAGTTATTCATTAGACTAAAGGCAGCAAGAGAGATATCCGACAAAACGTCAGTCAATATAGTCAAATATACAATATTATAGTTTCTCCCTGATTATTAAAGCTTCTGCTACTTTTTCACAACATCTCGAAATTTTCAAGTTTGTACTAGATAGCGTTAGATGAATAACTCGAAACAACAAAAACAAAATTTTATCGTATTTAAATAACAATTTATTTAAAAATGATGTGGTTATTGTTGCACGATAAAGCGTGCAATCATTTTGCATCCGTTCACTGTTAGAATACCGTTGCTTGTATTAGATTGTATTTGTTACTGTAACGAGAAATGTAATTAAAAAAAAATTAATACTCTGTTTATTGTGGATATGAAACCGAACTTACTCAGAATCTTTATGACACTCCAATTGCGAATCTTCAGGTGCTGCCACTATTGACTGTCTGCATCAGAACTTGTGATTCAATACACGTATGGTGTTGAGACAAATAAGTTGCAAAATTAATGAGATGTGTATTAAAATCGATTTTCACAACAATAAAATATTATATATTATTGCAAGCCGAAATGTAAGTTTTCATTAGAATTTCTGTTATACAATGACAATAAATATTTACGTTAATTCAAACAAATTTACATCTGAAAGATCGCAGCGTGAAACACTTGAACACGTGACACAGAAGAAACAGAAAATATTGTAATTGCAGAAGAATATTACAGACGCAATACTTAAGGTCTAGTTTCTTGGGATACAATAAAGGATGAACGAGAGTGGTAGGTACCTTATGGCATCCCCTTTTATAACATCTCGATTATATATCACCAACTACAGAAAGTTACGAAACATTCCACGTTATTTTTAATTGTGTGTATTTATTTTTCTTGTAATCTTATCTCCAATGTGTAAAGAAGGACACAGTACCAGCTAAATATTGAAGATTACAATTGTTTGGCTATAGCGCTTATCCTATTACGAGATTAAATATGTAGGAATTTAGGTTATACAGCGATTTCTGACCAACTGTTGCCGCACCCGAATTGTAAACAATCAGTCCGAAAATCGAAGTTGTGATACTTCGAGCTTAACGGCTCACCTTTATATTTGCAAACACCTCATGAGAGCGAGAGAGGGAGAGAGAGAGAGAAGGAGAGAGAGAGAGAGAGAGAGAGAGAGAGAGAGAGAAAGGGAGAAAGAAACTCGGGGTCCAACGAAACTACTTGGAAAGGCAGACTGTACATTACTATGAATACATCGTAATGCTAGAATAAAAACGATGGCGTAACTTTTTTATTTCTAATTTTGTATACATGAGAATTGTTTAAATATATTGGTCAGATTTTTCCAATTAAAATGATATCAAACACGACATGTATTAGACCATACATACTTATTCATTATATGTAGCAAGTACAGATGCCCACAAAAGTGTTCGTACACCAGAACAAAATTTGTTCAATTCAATTTTATTAGTATTTACATAACGTTCTTTTGGAATATGTTTACGCACACTTAAAGAACTTTTCTTCACAAAACAGTTTCTTCACAACAGTCTTCAAAACTGTATATAGGAATAAATAAAAACGAACCTTTTCTCTTTAAGCAAATACAGTATATTTATTATATGGTATAAATATCGGGCCACAAAAGTCTTCGTACACTTAATAATAATACGAATTTAAAGACTATTAATACTTCGTAGGATTACCTTTCGCTTGAATTACAGCTTGCAATCGTCGCTGCATTGATTGCACGAAGTTGGGAATTGCTTGTACAGTCGGTTTATAGGTTTTGAGATACTTAATGTGAAACTTGCTAATAAAAGGCCAGAAAGACGCTCTGGATTACACAGCGGGTCACCGCTCGCAGTCACTGTATTACCATTAATGTACGAACAACTTTTAAAATGCAATAACTTTTTTAGGATTAGACTAAACGACTCGAATTTTTTCGGATGATAGAGAGACTAGTCTACTAGACCATAACTAGAATGCTTTTTTCTTATTTTTGTTTTTGCTTAGAATGCTTAAAAAATTGCTTAAAAAATAGAAAACTCATGTTTAAATATTCAAACTCGATTTTCTCAGAAACTAAGTTCCAAACAAAAAAAGATATTGTATATATTTTTCATGTTTTTTCATAAGAAATCACCGGGTGGCCGCTTTCAGGTTACCTTTCAGGGACACCCTATATATTTCTCTATAATTTACGTGAAGCATGAACGAGTCATTTCGACTGCGAGCTACAAGCTCCACTACT